TCGGCGTATCATCCTCAGATAGATGGTCACACTGAAAGGACTATTCAGTCGTTAGAGGATTTATTGAGAGTATGTGTTCTTGAGTAGGGAGGTTCGTGGGATACTTATCTTCCGTTAATAGAGTTTACTTATTATAACAGTTACTATTCTAGCATTGGAATGACACCTTTTGAAGCGTTGTATGGTCGGAGATGTAGAACTCATCTATGTTGGCACAAATCTGGAGAAAGTGTAGTGCTTGGATATGAAATTGTTCGAGAGACTATTGAGGAGGTGAAGTTAAATCGAGAAAAAATGAAAACTTCCCAAAGTAGACAGAAGAGTTATCATGACAAGAGAAGGAAAGATTTAGAATTTCAAGCAGGTGACCATGTATTTCTGAGAGTTACACCTGTGACTGGTGTTGGGCGAGCATTGAAGTCTAAGAAGCTCACTCCTTGTTTTATTGGTCCGTATCAGATTTTGGACAGAGTTGGGAATGTTTCTTATAGAGTGGCTTTACCGCCTAATCTTTCGAATTTGCATGATGTGTTCCACGTGTCACAACTCTGGAAGTATATTTCAGATCTATCTCATGTGATTCATATGGATGATGTGCAAGTACGGGATAACCTTACTTTGGAAACAATACCTATACGGATCGCGGATCATGAAATGAAGACTCTAAGAGGCAAAGAGATTGCTTTGGTGAAAGTAGTCTGGTTAGGAGTTGTCGGAGAAAGCATGACTTGGGAGTTGGAGAGTAAGATGCGAGAATCCTATTCCGAGTTGTTTGAACAAGGTAAATTTTCGAGGACGAAAATATTCCAAGTGGGGGGGGGGGAGTTGTAACCCCCTTTGATTTAATTAATTATTAAATTAGGTATTTTCGATTAATTGCGAATTATTTGTTGAAATCGTTAACATGATGTGTTATGTTGTGAATTGTTGAGTTGCGATATTGTCATTAATCAGTTAAACTAGTTGATTAAATTAGTTTATTAATAACAAAAATAATGTTGGAATGAATAGAATAATTGTGTTGGGCTTATGTTATTGGTTGGAAGTAGTAATAGGTGGGGTGTGTAAGTTGAGCCCATTAGGAGTAACAATATTATTATTAGGTTTAGTTATAATAATAAGAAAATTAGGTTAATTAGAAAGATCAAGAAGTCTTAGAGTAGTACGTGAGAAGTTACAGAGAAGAGGAAAAGGAAAAGAGGCAAGGCTAGGTTCGATCGGAAATTGTAGAGAGGCCTTTAATCCAAGGTAAGGGTGGAGTTCTGACTATATAATGGGGTTTATGTTGAACATTATGTAGGGATTGGGTTTGTATAAATTTCTACGACGTGTAATTTTGGTTGTTGTATATACTGAATCCATGTTGCTTTCATACCTGATTATTACCATGTTGTAAAATTAGTTATTATGTTGTTGTGATTATATATTGTGTTGGTCTGGAATTAATAGTCGAGTAAAGAATGAAAATCGAAAGAACTCTGAAAAATTTAGACAGATTAACAAAGTCTGCGTGGGGTTTTGGAAATCTACATGAAACAGACTGTGCCGGGGGGCGGAATGGTTGTGCTGAATGGCACAAATTGGTGTGTGGCGAGTGGCAGGAAGGCATGCCGAGCGACATGGCTTAGATGAAGGGTGTGCCGAGGGGCACATGGTGTGCCGAGGGGCACATGGTGTGCCGAGGGGCACAAGTGATGTCCTTTATTCTCTTTTTTTTCTTTCTCTGTTTCTTGCGTGCAAATTGAGTAATGACTTTTTAATGGATTTGTCTTAAGGATCAGAAGAGAATAATTGTTAGTATATTTTCATTAATTACAGACTAGCATAGTTATAACAAAAGAATAATTTTTAGTATATAGATTTAACAAATTGCAGAGTTAGATCATGGCAGAGTTAAAGCAATAGCAGAGATGATTATTATGTTACAGAGTTAGTAACTGCTATGGTTTTAGTTACAGATCTAGTAGTAAATAACATAAACATTAGTAACTAAAATATAGTAGTAGTAGAGATAATTTAGGTAGCATAAAAATAATAACTTCATTAATTTAGCAGGAAACTATTAATAAGGCTTATCAGCAGAATAATTTAGTAGAAGTATTTTAGTAGGATCGTGTTAATAACAACATTGGCATGTGTAAGTTGTTTTGTTGTTGTTATTAATTTTTGAAGTTGCAGGTGATAAATTTTGTTGTGTTGCCTCTATTGATTGTCAATTATTGAGTTGTAGGCTTATGCCAATGTTGTTATATGTTAGTGTTGTTTTTGTTGTGTTTTATAAAGTGGTCGCATACATAGCATATCAAGTTGGTGATGATGCTCGTTAAGTTAGCCTGAATTAACAAAATATTAAGTTGAAGGCTTATGCCTTGTTGATGCCTCTATTTATTGTCCGATTTTTATGTTGGAAGTTCTGCTCCATTGGTACCACATGCATGTGCATAAAAACGAGTCGCATTTCATGTTGTATCCTGAGTTTTCGTGTGGATGAATTATTTATGTCAAATATTGATAAAAAGTTGTGAAATGATGAATTGTATGATATAATTCTAATATATTATTTATCGTACATCCTATTATATTGTTTGATATCTCATCCCTTCTGTTTGAATGTTACCCCGATGTTGGTAACATGCAGGTAATCCAGAGTGAAAGCGGTTTACCTTCGGTAGTTCGAGTCAGTGTCGTCGCTCTGATAGTAACACTCGGGGGGATAAACGCTTATTGTTTTATTGCTGATTTTACTTCTGTTGTCGAATTTTAAGTTGATTTTTATTAAGTACTTGTTGTTTTGAAGTTGTTTCAGTTGGACAAAGATGTTATGTCCTTTTAAGTTGGATATTATGATTCTGCTGCGTAGTTATGAAAGTTGTTGGTTTTAAAAGACTTAGTTATGTTGGTGTTAGTTCATCCGAGTTTTAAGAGTTATGTATCTGTTTTAAAAGAGATTAAACATTGTTGTTATAAGCCGAATGTGTAGCATCTCATTTATTTATAGGAAATTTTGAAACTCTGATTACATATAATTAGATGGATAGAAATGGGGTGTTACAATAACAAAATTCACATGAGTTCTAGAATATATCTCATGATGTGAAAAAGAAACTCATGGTCATAGAACATTTTAAATATGACCATACTAATATAATAAACCTTGCAAACCTTAATGTCACCAAGAAAAACTACTCCACGTTGCTCCAACTTCAATGTCTCAAAATATTCTTTTCCTGGACACATGTGAGCATCATGCATAAATGAAAGATCGAGAATTTTTCTAGAGACAATAATTTTGGATTGTGAAAAGTGAAGACGCAAGCAATTTTAACTTAAGAGAAGTGTTTTGAATCATTGAAGGGTGAGACATCAATTTCTGCATGCCTAACAGAAGAAGAGAAGACATAGATTCTAGATAAGGCCAAGAGTACCATCTGAGTATAATCTTCATTATTTCTCCTCTCGATCAAATAATCTACTCTGAGAGAGAGAGAGTAACTCTTTGATTCATTATACTTCTAAAAGTTGTCACAAAATATTACAATTGAATTATAAGAAAATAGTGACCCAAGTTCCCAAGAACAATATTTATCTCCTACCCAAATGTTTTTCAATATCTCAAACTCTATATATAAATCTTACAAGCTCAAGGTGCTTCGAAGTATTTTCTAATCCAGTTAGATACCTCTAAAAGTTGCCAAATTCTAAGAACTCTAAAAAATTTCTACCATTGTCTCTTTAAATTTACCTATGATTCATAACTCTTCTCTTTATCTTCAATTATAAAATTCTAAAGGTTCTTTTATGAAAGAACGATAGAGATACATATTTATAATTGTTGAAATACAACATATCCTTAACAGACTCAAAACACAACTAATTATTTTTTATAACAAAAAGAATATAAATATTTTATAATATTTTTATACTAATTTAGAGTATATTAGATTTTATCTAAACATATCCATATATTAATATAAAAAACATTTATAATATTATAACATTAATGAACAAATCCGTTAATCGATCTGATCAAAATCATTGTTTGGGAACCGTCCAGATCAGATCGGTTGTATGTCGAACCTTCTTCTATGACTATGATGCCTTTCGTCGACATTCTTTTTGATTTTTCACTTATTAATTTCTAACTATTTTAAAACATATTTCTACACAAATATTTCAAACTATTTTAAAATGCACAGGATAATGTTTTCTTTTCGAATTATGATGTATTTTGTATTAATATATGCGTTTAATGTTAACTTAAAAGAACAAATAATTAAAATTAATATCGATTAATTTTATTTTATCTCTTATTATTTGATATATTTATTTTATAAAAGAATCTGATTTATGGTGGCAACAACAATTATTTTTATTAAAATAAAATATAAATTATTAAACATGTTAAAATATTTTTTTTCTTTCTTTTATCGAGTTAGGCATGACAACAGGGTCGAAACGAGTTTAAACATTACCAATGAATTTAAGCATTATCAGCTCTGCTCCCCCGACTCTCTTACTAGCTTCGCCCCTGCCTCTCTATATCAACTTCGCTCTCAATGGGAATCCAGTTTCTCTGCCCCATTTTCATATGGAATATATATATATACTCTTTCATATACATAACAACAAGAAGGGAAATAGTTATATAGTACTTAATATTAAATTTCATACAAATATAAACGAGAACAAACCATTGTGTTCCCTTAATACATTAACATCCCATGAAATTATCACAAATTATTATGCAACATTTCAACCAATAGAATAAAATAAAAAACCATATGAAAACTGTAAGTTGTTCAATGGATACTTAAGAAAATGTGGCAAGAAATACATATTATTATTATTATTCAAGAATCAACTCATCCTTGAAAAAAAAAGAAAAAGAAATCGCCACAATATTATTATATATAACTTATAATTATATGATGTACCAATAAATGCATATATATATATATATATATATATATATATGTTCCATAATTTATTTGCATCATTTATCAAGTGTTTCTGGCACAATGTGTGATTCTATTGCAACCACGACGATAAGGGTTGGCCTGCTTTCTCCTCTGGCAATCATAGTAAGATTGTCCACGACGACCACATGGGATTTGATTAGCCCTTAGTGCACCATAGCTAATGTATCTTTTCCGTCCGGCGAGGGTTCGACGATTAGACTCAGAATCCATCATCATCTCGTTGTCCTCGCCGACGAGATCACCCACGCTGGCCGTGTTGTGAAAGCTAAATTCGTGAACGTCGGAAGCCTTAGCGGCTACCATGATGATCGCCATGACTAGCACCAAGACAGCAAGCCATGGCCTTATGTTTGTCATGATAGATAATACGAATTTTTGTTTGTATGAGAGAGAGAGAGAGAGAGAGAAGAGAAAATCTCTTTGTGTTTATTGCGTTTGTTCCTTCTCTTCTGATAGATGTGGGAAATAGGATGATAAAATAGGATACAAGTTAAAAAAATAGAGTTTTTGTTGTTGGTGTTTTATTTGTGATTTAACGTGATTTTGGGTATTGCCCCGTTTATTGCTCCTATGTTTTCTCTTATATTTGATGAATGTGGTAATGGTTTTACCAATGCATAACTAATTTTGCAATGTAAGATGCTAAATTTGTCTTTTGACTTCAGAAGTCTCATGCTCCAATCACTAATATAGGCTCAAAACACCTTCTAATCCATTCATCAAATTCGATAAAAGGAAGTTTATTAGATTTATCAATAATGTTCAAGAATAGACGATTTAATAATTTTGGTACATTTGGTGAAGGAGTTGTCATACAACACAATGTTTTTTTCATGTTAATTAAAAATTTACCTTATACTTATTTTTTCTTCTTTATTTTAAGTTTGTATATTTTTTTCATACAACTTCATCATTTTCTTAAATAATAATGACCAATTACATGCTTTAGGTAATTTTTATAATCAAGATTATATAGAAAATAGCAACGGACAACCACCAAAAGCGTGGATGAAATTTTTTAAGAAGATCGTTCTTTTAAAATCTATTTTAAAGAATTAAAAATAAAATTTAAGATATTTTGGAGGATTATAAATATATTTAACCATTTAATCAATTAGACATTGTATAAAACATTCCTAATTGATAAAAACAAGTTTCCAATTAACTAAACACTTTTACGAATTGATTTTTAGAAGAAATAACAAAAGAGAATAGGTTTAAAAAAATTGTGTATGATTGTCTTAGCATCTCAAAACTTATTCTTTTTCGTTTTCCAATAAATTAATCAAGACTAAGACAACCCTAAGCCTAGGACAAGAAAAGATTTTACACTTTCACAACTTCAAGTATTCAAGATTAAAAGATCATAGCTTCAAGTCTTAAAGTTCCTTACTTAATTCAACCATGTCTAGTACTTTTAACTTGAACTTGATATCTGATGAAATAAAATGTTTCTATATATTATTCTGTATAATTTACAATAGTTATATAGCTATACAAAGAGACAAATAAATTCTAATTTAGGAATTAAATCATTCTAGGCCTTGACAAATTAACTCTAATTCATTGGCACAATCTGTCACAATAAATGCTAACCAGACAGCTTATACCAACTAATAATACTACAGCTCATTACTCTCCCTCAAGTTGGAGATTGAGGACGATGAGATCCCAACTTGCTTGATAGTTCTCGAAATTGTTTTGTTCCCAAAGACTTTGTGAAAATGTCTGCTTGTTGTGACTTGGTTGGTATGTGGGCAGTAGCTATAATACCCTTGACAAGAAATTCTCGAATGAAGTGACAATCGACTTCAATGTGTTTCGTTCTTTCGTGGAAAACCGGATTTGAAGCTAAATGAATAGCAGCACGATTGTCGCAATGTAGAACTGTAGGATAATCACATTTTACTTGTAAATGTGTAAGTAGTCTTCTTAACCATATGACTTCACTTGTGGCATGAGCCATTGCTCTATACTCTGCTTCACTCGAGGACCTTGATACGGTAGTTTGTTTCTTGGTTTTCCATGAAATGGGAGTTGTTCCTAACTTCATGACATAACCTGATATTGATCTTTTGGTTAGTGGTGTTGGCTCCTAAATTCGACACCTTTGTTTTGATTGATGGCAGCCATGAAAAGCTGAAAGATGCTTTCGACTGGCTAAGCCTGTCGAAGTGCCTGTCAAAAGATGACAAAATACTTAGAAGATTTCTTCCAAGGAAGAAGGCTGATTGCCTTCGACATCGAAGGAGTTTTCGTCGAAGACGTCTCTTGACGAACGTGTTCGATGGTCCAGAGTGGAGCAGTTTGAAATTCAAAGCTTTGGAGGGAAAACGGTTTCCAGCAGTTACTACGTGCTAACGTGCAAGGATCTGGAGCGTCGAACAGGGAGAACGTGACAAGTGGCTTGATCTCGAAGCAGTGTAACTGCCCGACGGTTACTTGGAATGTTTTTGTATAAATAGGAGTAGAAGTGTAGTTTCTCGCGCGTGTTCACAATAGATACATAGTCACTCATTTAGATTCAAGTACCCAGTGTGAGCGAACGAATTGTTGAGAAATGTATGTGTGAAACACCAAATTTATCAATTCAAGTCATTTACTTTTCCAGTATTTTACATGCTTTTTCCCTTTAAGATTCCTGTCGAACCTTTACATTCAAGCCTTGTTTATTTTACCAAGCCTTTTCCTTTATGCAATTTACTTTAAACAATTTACTTAAAGCCTTATCCACATTAATTAAACTTCAAAATCAACCTATGTCCATAGGATCAATCTGATCGATCCTGCGAGTAACCAAATAAGTAACCATTTGGAGGATCAGCGGTTGTTTACCAAATCCCAAGGTAAACAAATTGGCACACCTGATGGGACTGTGTGTTGATTGTTGAAAAAATCTCATCTTTTCGAGTTGTATGTTATTGAGGAGTGTTAGAATATACACCAACGATAATAATACTGCCAGAAGAAGGGAAGAGATGGCGAATCCGCCAAACAATAATGAAATTCCACCACCAAGTGTGGGAGCAACGGTTAATATGACCGTTAGTGAAGCGACGAATGTTGGTTCGATGCCAGCAGTGTCAGTCACAACCACGGGGCCAATAACTTCGTTTACAGGCCCCAGAATGCCTTTGGGAACCCCCCCTCCAAGGGGAAATACTGGCCCAAGGCCAGTGGTTCCCCCAGGATTTATTCCATTCTATGGTATGCCAACTTCTGAATTGGCAAGCCTGACGAATGCTGCGTCCACTTATTCAGACCCTTTCGTGAGTGCCACTTCGCCACTCCAGGGCTCTGGAGTAGGCATGGCGAATAGAAATAGGACCCAACTCTTAGGAGGAACGTCCCAAGTAGCCCATGGCCTTACAAATGCCTCGACAGCAGTCTTGAGGCAACAGATGGACGAAAGCAACCATGATATGGTGCAAATGTTGGCACAAACTTTGAGTACAGTGCTAAATCCTCTAATACAAAATACTACTCAGTCGAATCAGCAAGTTACAGCGCAAATGTCGCGTTTGGCTGACTTCTTTGGAGTGCCCCCACCTATTCGACAGCCCCAAAGGGCGCAAATAAGAGGAAATCAGGGGATATTTGTAGAGGAAGAAACCACCATTAACCAGGTTCAACAGCCTGTTGAACAACCTGTCGAAGAACCTAGGGTAATAGCCCCAGAGGTAAGGTTAGTTAACAGAAACCAAAATGCTGACGAAGTGGTTCAGCATATCCAACACCAAAACATGGGTTTGGAAAATAATCTGGCAACCATGATCGAAAGGATCATGACTCAGAATGGGATGAACATGGGCTTTCGAAGGCCCAACTTTACTTCTCCTTTGTCAGAATATGTGTTACAAACTGACTTACCCCCTAGAACCAAAGTCCCCAAATTTACTAAGTTCTCTGGGGACACGACAGAATCTACTGTCGAACATGTGGCTAGGTATTTGATCGAAGCAGGAGACATTTCAAATAATGAAAACCTAAGAATCAAATACTTCCCAAGTTCCTTAACCAAGAACGCTTTTACTTGGTTCACAACTCTACCCCCCAATTCGATCCACCATTGGACCCAATTGGAAAGGTTGTTCCATGAACAATTCTATATGGGGCAAACCAAGATAAGCCTGAAAGAACTGGCGAGTGTGAAGAGACGTTTCACTGAACCTATAGACGAATATCTGAATAGGTTTAGGTTGCTTAAGGCGAGATGTTTTACACAAGTGCCAGAACATGAGCTGGTCGAAATGGCCGCAGGCGGTTTAGACTATTCCATTAGGAAGAAGCTAGATACCCAGTACCTAAGAGACATGGCCCAACTGGCCGATAGAGTTCGACAAGTCGAACGCCTTAAAGCTGAAAAAGCTAAGGCAACGAAAACTCACAAGAGAGAAAGAATAGCTTATGTTGAGATGGACGACGAAGATCTAGAATCCTTCGACGATACTTTAGCTGTCGAAGAAGGAGAAGTCGACTTAGCAGAACTAAAACAAGGGCCTCCATACTCTTGTAAACAATTAGTCCCCTCAAATGGGAAAAATCCCATTGGTCCAGACAAGACCAATGATAGGTTCCCAAAAAAGACTTATAGTTTTGACATCACAAAATGTGATGAAATATTCGACTTACTAGTTAAAGATGGCCAAATGATAGTACCCCCTGGGGTAAAAGTGCCTCCTCTTGATCAAAGAAAGAAGAGAGGTTTTTGCAAATATCATAATTTTCTGGGCCATAAAACTTCTCAATGTTTTCTTTTCAGGAATCTTGTGCAAGACGCTATTGAGGAAGGGAGATTAAAGTTTGCTGACAAATCCCCCATGGCTGTCGACTCCAATCCAATGAAGGCTGAAGCCCACTATGCAGAACCCTCTGAGGTGAACATGATAGAGGCTACCAAGATCCAGTCGAAGAAGCCAGCCATTAACATGGTCGAAGTCTCTAAGGACCACATCAACATGCCAATCTTTGGCAGTTTTTCTGGAAACTTATCCAGGAAGACAATTGAGGCTGTCCAGAAAGCGGTCGAAGATCCAAAGTCGAAGACTGCTGAAGTACAAAAAACTGGACTAAAGCCCAGTTCCCAATTGGCCATTGTACAAGGCCAGACGGAGAATCTGGAGACACAAATGAAACAACTCACTCTTGCTACTAAGGATACAATGAATATCAACATGGTTGAACTTTCTGACCCTAAAACTTCAGAAGAAGCCATAAGGCAAGAGCAGGCAAATAAAACGGCTTTCCCTAGGGAAAACGAAAACTTGGCAGATTTTTTACAAAGATGCCAGAAGAAGAAATCAGAGGTTATGCTGTGTCCAAGATGCAGTTCTATCTTTGATAAAAAAGCTGCTGAA